GCAAATGGCCCCCGGGCTGCATGTTTACTGAGCTAAAGTAATCAGGAAACTACTCTTCTTCTCCAGCCATACTCGATAGCTGTGGACAACTGTATTCATCCCATCAGCTAAGCAGAGCACAGTCAACAACTGTGTGAGTTGCAGTCCAATGACATTCAGCAGCTACAGCTTCTTACCACTACTTCAAGGCTATAACAGTGCATTAAGTTCTGTGCTACATCAAATTCAATACGAATCCGCTAACAAGCTTTTCTTCCTGGCCATTGTCCAGAATTAACAGGGTCCAAAATTAAACTCCTTTTGCGTCCAACTAATACAGGAGGAAGACATGAACAGTTCAAGATCTGGTCTTTCTCTCACACTTTTCCTTTCTCCCTCCCTACTTTCTGTAATGTCATGCCTGAGGAAGGATGCTGCCTAAACATTTACACAAATGTGATTGGATTCTCTTTTTAAAAAAAATCTTTTTCCTTTTCTTTTATTTATTTATTTATTTATTTTTTTAATAAACTGGGTCTAACAAAAATATCACCTTGATGTGTAGTTTGTGGATCAACCTTCTTTCCTGTGGTTACTAGCAGTTAGATCCACCTGTGCTTCATCTCAAAATCTGTTAACAAAATTTGTGCCTTCATTAAACACCATATAAAAAACAAGAAATTCTCTCTGGATCCCAAAATTACCTTGTTGGGCTAACTGAAGGCAGAATAGAATGTTTAGGTCCAGAATTTAAAATTTGATAGCACTAGCATGCATTTTTTAAAAGACATCAAAAAGAACAATAATCTCAGAACAGCTAGAGAAATCTAAAATAAATGTTCAGAAGTTAACTGATTTTTCAAGTATTAGTGTTGAAACGGTTTATTGAAGGATGGCTTTTATTCATGTCTCTGAATTAATAATTCTGAACAGAAAACTTAAAAATAGCATATGCAGAATCCTATTACAATTTTATATATGATAACACATTAGTTGCAGCAGTTAACTAGAATTGCCACAAATTAGCATGCTTCTCGTTGCATTCCAAGGGGACATCCAATCCGAAAAGGGGTATGCAACCAGCAATGCAACCAGCATGTCATTAAACCACGGCTATTTGCCACTGCGATGTATGCAATTTCACTTACACACCCATAAATTGCCAACAGGATGAGGATTCTGTCCATTTCTTGTGTGGCATTTTTATATTCTATGTTTTTGTAGCTAACTGTAAATGCATTTTAATCAATATTGATAGTTATATCATTTATTGAAAGCATTTTATCCATATCACTTCATATGAAATAAATACTCCTGCATGTCAGGGATATATTTAATACAGTCCAAAGAACTATACACACTTACACTCCTGTCTTTAAGACACATAGAAATCATCTGTTTTGATAGTTGCATATTTGATTTTTCAGCAAATTGGTTTAACCAATCTTGCAAATTGGTTTGATCATTTGGTTGCTTAGTAGCCAGACAGATTAATGAGAAAGAGGCATGTGTGTAAGAAGGAAGGAAGGAAGGAGTTCAATGTTATCAGCTAGCTAAATAAAAGCTAGCTTTTATTTGAGGAGCATAAAACCCAATCAAGCTGCAAAATGTTAATATCTGAAACAGCTGTCAGGGCAAATTCTTAGGCTTTTCCCCTTCATTAGCACTAGAACACTGAAACCAAGGAAGTGAGAATACACATCAGAAACCTTAAATATTTATTGAGGCATCTCAGCTGCTGTTTGCTCTCCCCTCCCTGTTTTTTTTAAAAAAAAACAGGCTTCCCTATAGCTAAACAAATTTATGATTGTTTATTGTTTATTTATTTTTTATTTATTTTTTACCTGAAGGATGTTGTTCCGTTCTCTCTTATTTTCTTCCTCTGAACAGGAGATGCTTGAAGCGACAGAATTTTGTTTCCTGGCAGGGTAATTTGTTTCACAAGGGAGCCTAAAAAAGACGAACAATCCAAAGCAAAAAGCAAAATCCAAGATGACATTCACTGCATACTTGGATGAGAAATCTGAGAAGACTGGGTCCAGCTTTAAAATGAAAGCAGCATATTGGTGTCAAGGTCACACATTGAGTCTTCCGTTAAATTAACTGCATGAGTTATTTTACTAAACATACAGACAACTGTGCTATTCTTAATAGTGACTGTTACATATGCAAGTCACCTCCAGGTGTGATTAATGACAAATTGTATCTGTGTGTTTTACAATATGTATTTATAGAATATGTTACAATGTGCCCAACACATGCTTTCACCAACAGAAGCAGAAACAGAAAGATGCTCAAAATCCTGCAGGTACTGTCCACTGGCCCAATTCTATTACCAGCTGAGCTTTCGCACTAGCAGCACACAACAGCACAAACTGAACACAGGTTGAAATTCAGTAATATGGTATTTTTCCGTTTATAAGATGCCCCTGTTTATAAGGAACACCCAGACACACACACTTTTCTAATCCAAAATTTAAGAAAACTTATATTTGAGTATTCAGCCTCTGGGCTCAGAACACGCGGACATTAGGAGTCCCTGTTGAATCTGAGCACTGCCTACAGGCAGGTGTTTGAATGGTTTGTATAGCATCATCTGACATCAGTTCCATAAGGCTCCTGACTGCAGGAAGCTAAGTCTCATGATTGAAGGAAACCTGTTTACAGAGGCAAGGTATGTGCCATTTTGTGCTCTCCTCAGCTATCTCAGCTTACTTCCATGTAAAAGATGCCCCTCAATTTTAAATGTAATGATTTTAGGAAAAAGTAGTGTGTTACATGGAAAAATACGGTAAGCTGCAACCTGAGCAGGACAATTGAAGCAATGGAACTCATACACAAACATTGACTCACCAATTCCTCGCTGACTTGATGGGTCAAACCTAGTTGTGACTTATTATTAGATTCCAGCCCTTAAGTGCTATTCTGTTTCTAGAAAAGCCCTAATATTATTGCCATTCTTAATATGCCACCTTATCATTTCAAGCCTGAATACTACCCTATCAATAACCAAAACCCTCTTGTGTAATTAAACTGGTGGAAGAAAAATGGTGTAACTCAGTGGCAAATTGCTGCTGATTTATGAGTCCCTGCTTGGATTCCTGGTCTAGCAGCAAACCACCCAACTGGTGCACACTGAGGAATTCAGACACAGATTCATTAATTAACAGTAATTTGCAGCTATGAGTTACACCATTTCCCTTCCATCAGTGTAATTACACAAGAGGATTCTGTCCAGCATAATTGAAGATAGGGATTCAGTTCAGACAACCTGCTGAATTATTGAATAAGTTTATCTAATATATGTGCATTAATAAAGCATATTGTAAAATCAGTCGAACCATGGCCAAAAAATTCAGAGATTTAAACAGTGATTTATATCAGTTACAATAGCAGCAAACATACAAAACAGTGTAAATTTAGAAATTTAAAATGTAGATCAAAGTATCTGCCATGAACCCATGTGCTGAACCTAGCCCAAGAATCCAGATGTCCCTGCAGGACATTGGCTAGCCTGAATAAAAGCATTTAATGGCATTTCCCCACCTGATTTATCCACAGAAGGGCATGCTGACACCTGCTGAATTGAGGTCATTTTCCTTAAGATCTTTTCTGATGGCTTCTGGACTATCTGGATAGGGGAAAAGTACGCCAACATACAGAAAAGGTTGAGCATTACACATAGAACACAGACATAAGCAGAGAGCATGGCAGAAATATGAAGTTTTTTACCTGAATTCATCAAGTCTTGCAATTAAAGTCTGTACACATCATCAACATGGTGAACAACTTGAGAAACAGCCACATTCACACCATATAGTATTCATAGGTACACTCATATTTTAACAGCATGCATACATTTGTATATATTAATGGTACCTCCTATGATATAAGCCTACCTATATCCTGAGGCATCTACAAAAACCTTCACTGAGGGTTCTCCCCACCAGCAGCAAATTCGAATTTCCTGCCCTTCCTCCCTGCCTTTGGAGCTTTCAAAAGGCTTCCTCCGACATCAGAGGAAGCCTTCTGAAACCTCTGAAGCCAAAAAGGCAGGGAGAAAGCGCAGGGCGTTCGAACTCCCCTCGCTTTCTCCCTGCCTTTTTGGCTTCGGAAACAAGCCAGGTGGTCAGGGAAAAATCAGCTCCCTCCTTGCACCCGATGCTGAACTCGCGCCGGCTGAACTCAGCATCGGGTGCAAGGATGGAGCCGATTTCCCCCCGACCACCCGGCTTGCTTCTCATTTGGAAAAGCAGATTTCTCTCTGGCAGCCAGGCTTGCTTCCGAAGCCAAAAAGGCTTCAAACTTCCCGCTCTTTCTCCCAGCCTTTTTGGCTTCAGAGAGCTCCAAAGCCGCCCATTGCGGCGACGGGGACCCCCGGGGAGGTCTCTCAGGGCTTGTACGCCACCTGGCGCTCCGCTGCCTCTGCTCCGCGAGGCTAGATCTGGCCAGGCACCTGGATGCTCGCTGCAGCGGAGCGCCAGGAGGCTGGAGCTGGCCGGGCGCCTGGCCACTCGCCCCCGGCCGCAGCAGATGCAGTGGAGCACCAGGAGGCTTCAGACTGGTCAGTCCTTTTTTTAAAAAAAACTTTTCTGTGTGGGTTTTGGAGGGTGGGTTTGGACTGGGGGGTTATGTTTTTTGTGTGTTTGTGTGTGTGTGTGTGTGTGTGTGTGTTTTGGCAGTCCCAACGTGGGACTTGCTCTTTTTATTTTTATTTTTTTATTATTATTATTTTTTGAAATGCTGGAATGGATTAATTCCGTTCCCATGCATTTCAATGAGAAATGGTAGGTCGACTTATGAAATTTCTGAGGTACGAACGTCGTTCCAGAACGAATTAAGTTAGTAAGTCGAGGGCCCACTGTAAGTGCTTTAGTTTACATATATCTTGGTCCATGGCAGCTTACATAGTTCCCACCAGGAATTTAGGGAATCTTAAGGAAAACATTTCATCAGCTGTTTTTAGGGCTCTTGTAGCATGTGGCAAGAATCTGATAGAAACTCTAAAGTCAGGACTTATTCATTATGGGTACCCCCAAGGATTCATTGCATGAGAACATCTGAAACAAACTAGTTCAAATTTACCATTTTCAGGCTTGGATATATTTCAATATACTCTTGACCTGACAGCTGAAATCCATTTGAAAGAGGATGGGAAATATCAAAGGGCAGCTCAGAAGCACTTTGGCCAAGCTTCAGTATCAAATTCCTGGCTGCTTTAATGTCTAGCACTCAAGTATTCCCAAACCACTCCTGCTCTAGCCCCCAATTTTTAAATGTACATTTCAGATGTCAGCTATGCAAAGTATTTGACAGGCACAAACACACAAAAGCCACTTTAACCCCACACTCTTCAGCCTCACTGGAGAAGGACCTGATTGCACACTTCTAGCTGTCAAGGCTCTCAATCTCAACTATGTCGCAGAACCTTTGCTGGTTTAATAGAACAAGTTCCATAAACCACACACCAAAGCTTTGCAAGTCAACTTTACAAATCAAATACCTCTTACCAGCTGCTTTACTTTTACAGCCTGTGGAGTCTGGACAGACTGGGAAAGGACGGAAGTGGGATGAGCAACCCTGATCATGATTGGCTTCCCAGCAACTGAATTTCCTGAAGGGAGAGAAATGGTTGCCACCGTAGCAGAGGTTGTTGCAGAAGTTCTCAAGGCTGACTTCACAGTTTGAACAGCTGTTGCCATGACAGGCGAGGAGACTGACTTTATAGAACTAAGAGCAGCAAGTGCAGCTGAAGACATGACAGGGACAGTAACTGGTTTTACAATCTGAAGAGAAGCATTTCCTGTTGTCTGTGCTGTAGTAGTGGAGGAGGAGGTTGGCTGCACAACATTCACAGTATTTATTGTTGGTGCCAGTGGAGCAGAAGCAGCAGGACTGGTGTCTTGCAGGGATACTGTCCCTACAGGCAAGGCATGAGTTGTCTGAGTAAGCTGAAGAGAAGCAGATCCCCTTGTCACCAAAGATGTGCAGGAAATTGGGCATGATGTCTGTGAAGAGGTGGTCTCTGTTGGATTTATCCTAGGGACTGGTCTTACAGATTGAAAGGAGGTTGCAGTCACTGGAATACTGTCAGTGACTGTAGAAGCAGTTGATTGAGCAGTAATACTAGGAGAAGCTGCTGTTTGTGGCACAGATTGATGGAAACACTGCTGTATGAAAGTCTGTGGGTTGGGCATTAGCTGCCGTAAGGCCACCAGACTTTTCTAGGTAAAGAAGAAAACAGAAAATTTGAATCTTCCTTTCAAAGTCCATACTGAATGGACTTTCATGACAGAACAGAGATTTTGAATATCAAGGCTGCTGCTAACCTAAAAAGATCACTAACAACCCTGCCACATTATTAAATTATTAAAATTTGAGATTTAAGGAAATTTGCCAAGGTTCAGTTCTCTTTACCATTAACAAATCAGCACTGTACAAAAGGTGTTCAGCACACTGGGTAGAAATTCCTGATGCTAGTCACAGACAGCTACAAGACCAGTAACTTTACACTCAAGTTATATGAGTTTGCTTCCAAATTAGTAACAAGTTTCACAGCAACTCTAGTGAAAGAGTTCTAGTTTTACACATTTAGTAGGATGAAACTTTTCTACAAAAAGGACTGTGTAACTGATATTAGCTAGAGTACAGGAGAAACATACTTTGAAATGCTAAAAAATAATGTTTTTAGTTGCCAACAAGTTGTGCTGAAGTTTCTTTCTATAAATTTCTTCAAGACTGTTCTCTTTAAATCTCCCTTATCCTGCCATTCCTTAATATATAACAGGCTGAAACGTGTCAGGCATTCTACGAACAAACATGATTTTACATCATTTTGAGATGTAGTTTTTCTGTACATGTGTCCTACTTGAATATTTTCCAGTGTTAATTTCTTCAACTGGTAATTATCCTACTCAGGTATTTATTTACCTGAATAGAGGCAGAGGTAAGCAATGCATACAAGCATCATCCAGGATTGGATAGAAAGCATAACACCTGAAAAAGCTCTAAACCCACTCATTAGCTTCAGCTACTACAAGGATTCAATTTCCCAATTCATGGACCATCTCTCTTCTCTATTCCTCACTCTCATGCTACACTGAAGCTAAATTACACTACATATTTTACAGCATAAATTGCTATAAACTAGACAACTAGAAATCGTGTCCTAAAGTACTGTTTCTACTGTACATTTGGGCCACTGAATGAATAGGATTTAAATTTAAAGGGGATAGAATTCTTCCAAATCCTGTGTAAATGTTCATGCACACCACCTGATTGGCTGGGACAGACATGGGAGCTCATTTATCAAGCTAGTATAATTGAGCGATACAGCTATAACACAGTATCTGAGGGGCAAGGGCAGATAGCATTTCAGTGGCGAGGGGGATGATGTGTCATTTCCATACATAGGCTGCTTTGCTTTGCTATTAAAATTGATCTGGTACTTCAAATTAGTCTCTTACTTTCTGATCAAGGCCATCATCACACTGAGACTCAACAGCTATGCACTGAATGTTCTGTGTCTGAACTATTTGGAAGAAATACCTTGAGGAAGGGAACAAGATATGGCTGCGGGGAAGACTTCAGCTCAATGTACAGCTCTTTGGTGAATTCCTCTGGTTCAATTTTTGCTTCCTAGGCAGAAAAATAAATTGTAGCACAAATGCAATGTGTAGTTCCTCCAGGTGAGACAGATCCTACTGATTTGCTGGCAGCCTTGTACTGACAGGCTTCACAGCTGTCTGTTTTAAGAATAAGGAAAGTGGCAACCATGGCAAAATAAGTAGGGCAAAGTTCCAAGTTCCTGAAAACTGAGAAATGCACTGGACTGTAGAATTCAATAGGTTACATGCCTTCAATGAGAGATGGGTTCCACTGAAATTTGCTGTCATGTAACTATGTAGCCTTTGTCCATTCACCCAGTCCTGTGCAGCCTATATTACCTTTTCTTTTGCCATGATAAAGTGTTAATGATCAAAAGGCCACTTTTGCTTTCCTTTGTTATGTAATCGGGTTTAGGGATAAAAAGACATAATTGTCTCCCATACCTACCCACCCACACCTTCTTCCCCTGCAAAAAAAAATGACATGAAAAATGAGCTTAGAAATGGTTCCAGCTACATATGACCATAGGCTACATAATCCCCACCTCCAGTTTTAGATCAGAAGGATTGCATTCTGCTGTACTGAAATGGAAAAAGAAAGAACATGTCCTTTTCTATTAGTTTAGCCTTTTCTATTTTCTACATGTATTCGTCACCTTGTGTAAGCCTGTGGTGCAATATAACATTTAAAAAAGAAAACAAATCACACGAAACAATTATCAGAAGGAAATATAACTATTCTTCTGAAAATACTGTATATCAATTGGGAATGATTACGAGTTTCATATACTGGACTATAAAACTAAATACAACATAGAGATGGGTATTCTGGGATCCATCCTACTTAGTATTACAGCTTTGGATAGAGCTGAAATCGAAACAAAGTCACTGCCAAGTAAAGACATTTAAGATCTGGGCAAAAATACTTGCAGCTGAACTTTTACCAACAGACTTTGTACCAGGTTCTTCACATTCTGTCCCATTTCAGATGCTTGAGGTCCACTGGATGCCAGTTTTATAAGCGTTGCTAGAAAGTTTTTGCACTTTTTGACATTTTCCAGCACTTCCTAAAACAACAACAGAAGCAAGAGTATAAATTAGACCCGCTGTTCTAAAACTGACTAGAGGTGTGTGATATTTGCCTGATCTGTACTTACCACAGAAGAGCTACTTTGTCCTACTATCACAGCTTCTGTGTCAGGAAGAGGCTTGGGAGCAACAGACAGTGCAGGAGAATCAAAAGCAGGAGGCTTTGCAGATGGCCCAGTGATCAAAGACTTTGCAGTCATTATCATGCTATTACTATCTGTTGATGCTACAGACTGGAAAAAAAATTAAATAACTGGGTAACTTGCCAATTTTCTTTTTGACTACAATAACCAATACATAAACTCCTATTAAGATCATCTATTTTACCAAAGCTATGTTTTGATTCCATAAAGATGCATAGCATGACTTACATCCAGGAAGGTGAGCTTTCAAATTGAATAGTAGTTTATTGATATCTTAACATACTTAGAAATAATAAGTAAAGATCTAGAAACACTCATGTGTCTGAGGGAATGGATTATAATCTACAAGAGCTCTCGGTGAAGTTACTGTATTAGCTTAAGGTTCCAGAACTCTTTAATTTTGTTTTGCTGTTGTTTAGTCATTAAGTCATGCCCAACTCTTCGGGACCTTGTGGACCAGAGCATGCCAGGCCCTCTTATCTACCACTGCCTCCCAGAGTTTGGTCAAATTCATGTTGGTAGCTTCAATGACACTGTCCATCCATCTTGTCCTCTGCCGTCCCCTTCTCCTCTTGCCTTCACACTTTCCCACGATCAAGGTCTTTTCTAGGGATTCTCTTCTCATGAGATGGCCAAAGTATTGGAGCCTCAGCTTCAGGATCTGTCCCTCCAGTGAGCGCTCAGGGTTGATTTCCTTCAAAATGGATAGGTTTGTTTTCCTTGCAGTCCAGGGGACTCTCAAGAGTCTCTTCCAGCACCACAATTCAAAAGCATCAATTCTTCGGCAGTCAGCCTTCTTTATGGTCCAGCTCTCAATTCCATATATCGCTACAGAAAAACCATAGCTTTGACTATGCGGACCTGTGTTGGCAAGGTGATGTTTCTGCTTTTTAAGATGCTGTCGAAGTTTGTCAAGTGTAATTTTGTTTTGCACATGATGAAGCAGACTAGCATGGCTACCACTTTGAAATTCACTGAAAGAACTGCACAGGAAAAGAAACACTCCCTCTTTAACAACAACATCCAGAATATGGACCTCTCTCTAGACATTAAAGCTCATTTTGGAAACTCATTTAAGTAATGAATATGGTATATTTTTATGCACTAGCCTTATCATTAAAGTCATCTTATATAGATTGATCTAAAAGGCAGGAGTTTATACAAAGTAATGATACATTTCCTTTAGAAATCAGGGAACTGCAGTCCAGAAACACAAAAGAGCACAAGCCTAGAAAAAATTGTCATGCCTTGCTTAGCTTTATGTGCCCAACTGATGCTAATTCTATTGCTTGGGGAAAGCTATCACCATAGTGACCACTATATGCAACTATAACGTCTCACAAAACTTGAAAATTTACATTCAAGATTTTGCACATTTCCATTAGCTATCACAAACGAAGAATCCATAATTGATGTGGATATTTCTCCATACCCCAGAAGGAATCCAGATGGTAAGTGCTATTGTAGATCAGCACTCAGCAATATGGATAACAATCCTAATAAAGCAAGCACTGGAACATGTTGTTTACACTGCGTAGCTAGGAAAACATATCTTTATGCTTTATAATACTTTCTCTTTAGAATTGTGAACCACTGTAATAAAACATCTGTGACCCACAAGACTCAGCACCAAAGATTCAGCTAGTGCTCATACCTGAATCACAGCTGCCTTCTTTATAGTAGAGGTGATGGAATGAGTTGTCCGAGACACTGTTTTAACAGGAGCTGCTAGTACTTTCAGTACCTGAGTTTCAGAGTTCTTTCGGAAAAATGAGAACAGATACATAATAGATAAAAAGATGAAAATCATGTGCCAGGTAATTGGTATAGTTTATGGCTAACTGAACACAGAATTATTTTTCTCAGCATATTTGAAGTTGGAGGAGAGTTATATTTTCCAATGAACATATTTTCTAATGGAGACAAATACTGCGTGAACATGAAGCAGCAAAGCCAGTTGGAAGAGTGATATGTCTCAGTGGCATAAATGACAAGGACAATGTGACTGCATATTTCTGTCTGCACATATGGAAGAAAACATACTTAATGTATTAGTACCAAAAGGCAGTCACGGGATGTTAAAAAGGCAAGACCAGAAAACTTCTATATAATAGGAAATTGGCCCCATTTTAAAAGGTACTTAAGTTCTTCTTTACAGTCAATTTGTGCAAACATTAGTACAAAAGAAACCCATCCTCTATACTAGATCAGATTCACTATCATCTCTGAAAGTAATAACATTCACAAAAGAATGGCTACTACTACCTGTGGAGTCTGTATTTTGACTGCAGGTGAATTAGCAGGTGTGGACCATCTTATACCTGTGTTATTTGGGGTCTGGTTTTGGGCTTGCATTAGTGCTTGCTGAGCCACTAACATCAGCTGACCAGTGTTACTTCTGATAAGGACTGTCCCTGAAAGAAAAAAAAACACACCACCAAACCAATTGTTAGACATTAGTGAAGAGCAAGCAAGTAAAACAGGAATCATATGAAACATTAAGAGAGTTATGTTTAACACCCTTGATACCCTGTGTTGTATGTAACTCAGACATGCTTGTACTTAATTCAGAAATAATGAAATACCACAATACAATTTTTTACACTGCTTTTCTAGGTTGATCTTTAAAACAGCAGACTGATATATTTTTGTACTGGTTCAATTAGTACTACTAACACCCATCAAGGATATTTAAAGGAGAAAATAAAATCAGAATTAGTTTGCTCATAGGTCTTTAAAGTCAAAATGTGAAAAATATAGATGCTTCAGAACTTCTATACCTATCCAATAAATAAATAAACAATTATAGCTTTACTTACAGTTTGATCCTAGTGAAAGACCATTTCCACAAAAATGTTAGTCCTGCTTGATATCTAAAATATTCAATGTCACTTTCACAACATAGTGTTGTGTGTTATATGAAGCTATGTTTATGCTTAACAATTTTTTTTAATGATGGTCTCAAGGATGATATTCTTTGCCAGGCAAAAATCTTTGCATGTGTGCAGCCTCCATACAAATGTCACTGTAACATCTAAACGTGCTTTTTATTCAATAGTCAATGCAGCAACACACAAATCTTTAAGGAAATCATGTCCCACCCACCTCCCCAACATAGCTGAGCCCTTGTAAAACAAAATTTGCTATGCTAAAAACTTTGCCCACAGGAGAGGTCTTGCAACAAATAGATTGGGCAATTACTGTACTTGCAAACATTTCACTGTCAAACACAGTGAAATATCACACACTGAAAGGCTAATGTTCTCCCCACTCTTATGAGCAACAGACACAGTGATGCGGAAATATAGGAGAGCCCACGTTTCCTGAAGATGACAACAGAGCTATATTTTCGCATGAAAAGAGTGCTGATTTATTCTACACACCTCTAGGACAGCACCTATGCTGGTCATGTTTAAAAGGACCACTTCCCTATTGTATATGTTTTCGAGTTATCATGATGACGTTAGGAAAATACGTTACTTACAAAAGTGCATAAACTGAAACAAAGTCTCTTGTACTAAGAGAAATATCAGTAACATAGGATCATATTTTGTTACTTTATTTTTGAAAAATATTTGCCAACAGAGTAGAAACAAATGTTGCTAATTTTCAGAGCTTTGCTGTTTGGCTTGCTTCAACTACTACCGTATATCTTCTTAATTAGTACATTGTTACTGGTTATGTAAATGGCTGCAACTTTCTGCACAAGAACTATAATGAACAGCAGGGCTCAGGCCTTTAAATAGGGCTTTTAAATGAACACATTGGTGTTTATATTTGTCTGCAAGCATCAATGCATGCTCAGAGTCACTTTTATTGTTAGATACAGAACTGCAAGATTTAGTCTTTAAGTCATTCATGCACATTTTTTATTTTAAGATACATGTAAAGCAAAATTACAAATAATAGGGCGGGACAGTTTTTGGACCACATTGGGAGGGAATATTTTATTCAAAATTTGTATGGGGGTGCTCTAGTCACAAGCTATCCATGGTCACAGGCAAACATTTACACACCTCCTAAGTTAGCATTTCCAAATTTTACAGATTTGCCAAGAACACTGCAACTTCTGTTGAATAAACAAATGTAAAATATCAGGCATGGGACTTTTGGAATTCATAAGCTACAGTCCCAGATGTCTGCAGCAATTCCTCTGGGGGCTTTAATCAAGATATTAAAATCCTGACAGATGTCTTTAAAATGTTAAGCAAATGAATTAAGACCCCAGAAACCATTTTTTTTCATCTGAGAAGAAAGAGGAAATGGATGGGCAGGGATGAGCTCTATGGGAGTTGCAAGTGATTTTAAGTGTGGTAGGTTCTGCCCATTAGGCTCTGCATAGAAAACCTCTTTTTAAAAAAAACCCAACCAAACACATAATCCCTTGGAGCTCCTAAGGACCTTAGTGTTGCCCATCCATTTTCCTTCTATTCTCCACAGGACAAAAATGGTTGCCAGAGTCTGAATTCATTAGTTTAAGAAGGGGGATGATATACAGCCTTGTTGTACTCCTTTACCAATTCTGAACCAATCAGTTGTTCCATATCCAGTTCTAACTGTTGCTTCCTGTCCCACATATAAATTTCTCAAGAGATAGATAAGGTGATTAGGCACTCCCATTTCTTTAAGGACTTGCCATAATTTGTTGTGGTCCACACAGTCAAAGGCTTTTGCATAGTCAATGAAGCGGAAGTAGATGGTTTTCTGGAACTCTCTGGCTTTCTCCATAATTCAGCGCATGTTAGCAATTTGGTCTCTAGTTCCTCTGCCCCTTTGCAATCCAGCTTGTACTTCTGGAAGTTCTCGGTACATATACTGCTGAAGCCTACCTTTTAGGATTTCGAGTATAACCTTGCTAGCGTGTGAAAGGAGAGGAATTGTACGGTAGCTGGAGCATTCTTTGGCACTGCCCTTCTTTGGGATTGGGATGTAGACTGAGCTTTTCCAATCCTCTGGCCACTGCTGAGTTTTCCAAACTTGCTGGCATATTGAGTGTAGCACCTTAGCCGCGTCATCTTTTAAGATTTTTAAATAGTTTGACTGGAATGCCATCACCTCCAATGGCCTTGTTGTTAGCCATGCTTTTTAAGGCCCACTTGACTTCACTCTCCAGGATGTCCGGGTCAAGGTCAACAACCACACTATCTAGGTTGTCCAGAACATCCAGACCTTTCTGCTATAATTCCTCTGTGTATTCTTGCCACCCCTTCTTGATGTCTTCTGCTTATGTTAGGTCCCTGCCATTTTTGTCCTTTATCATGTCCATCTTTGCACAAAAGTTTCCTTTAATATCTCCAATTTTCTTGTACAGATCTCTGGTTTTTCCCTTTCTATTATTTTCCTCTTTATCTTTGCACTGTTCATTTAAGATGTGCTACCTCATAACAAAGTTCTAGATGGTTTACAATAAACCTGGAAGCCAGTTTCTCTGCACAAACTGGAACTTACTCATGACATTCAATGCAGGAATTTTACTAGCAATGTTTAAATCTGCTATTGCATTTCCAATACTTGATATATATTCTACATGGTCTAGGCAGCTTTAAAATTGCTTTGATCAGTTTCCTGACACTGATATTTGCATATGAACAAGAGCTACATAAAAAGCTTGAGTCTTTTGATATGTTTGCTTGTATTGTGTTTTGTGTTTGCTTGTTTTGTTTTACTTATAGGACACCAAAATTGCAAAATGCTGGAAAGATAGTTAAAGGTAAAGGTTCCCCTTGACATTTAGTTCAGTCGTGTCCAACTCTAGGGCGCGGTGCTCATCCCCGTCTCCAAGCCATAAAGCCAGTGGTTGTCTGTAGACAGTTTCCGTGGTCATGTGGCCAGCGCGGCTAGACATGGAACAGCACTACCTTCACACCATGGTGGTACCCACTTATCTATTCGCATTTACATGCTTTCAAACTGCTAGGTTGGCAGGAGCTGGGACAAGCAACGGGAGCTCACTCTATCATGTGGATTCAATCTTACCAGTGCTGGTCTTCTGACCTTACAGCACAATGGCTTCTGCAGTTTAACCCACACAGCACCACCACATCCCTAGATAGTTAAAACCATACCATTAAAACTGTACCAACAGCCTTAGAAATCAGAAACTGATGCAAATAGTCAGAGAGGTAGAGGAACAAAAAGGTCTTGGAACTGTTGAGACTGTATGATATCTCTTATGTATATCTTGTATACTGAAGATGAAGAAAGCAAAATCCCTAATTAACACAGACAGATATGGAACAATCAATTTGGTTACGGTGCTACTGTAAAGATAGAGAAGAAATGAAAACAAGAGATCCATATGTTTAAGAGGAAAGCTTGTTATTAAAGTTGTATTTCTTTTTTATGTTCCTTTTGATTTTGTATGTCATATAGCATTAATTACAATAAAAAGTGCACTAAACATGTCCTTAGACGAAGACACATGAAATAACAAGTGAAACTGCTTTTACCATCCTTGATTATGAACTGCACAAAATGTTGTGCAACACTGCCATCTAACGGTACAGCTGATAAGCATATTTTGTCTTCTCGAAATATATTTCACTTAAAAAGTGCCTAAGTACATGAACTTGCTAGTTCTATCTGATTATACGCATGCATGTTCCAACATGTGTCTGGAAAATTAAACGGTTAAACTGAAATAAGCATTCTCTGGACAGCTGATGCTTTTCTGCTTTTGAATTGTGCTCCTGAGGTCGCACACCACTTAGTATAGAAAAAGGGCACATATTGAGACAATCCCAAACCAGCCGGCAATACACAGTCCATGAAGGCAGCCTATAAACTTGCTCAACAGATAATATATGCCAAGAGTAACAGAATGCCACTGCACGTGGGCAGATGTTTACCTTGCAATCAAATTTGGGAAAGAAATCAAGGCTGCTTGGAGTAGGCTGGCTCAGAAAATTATTTTCATCCACAGCAATTAGCCTTCCAAGTTAGTAGCCACACTTATGTTCAGCTTGAGTCCAAGTATGCCAAGCCCCATTCTTCACTAAACAGAATGCAATTTAAACAAAGGCAGTGAAAACCTCTGCCGAAACCAAAAGAGTCATGACATGACCACCTTACTGCTAAACTGAAGGTACTCTAGAACACTGGTTCTTAACCTTGGGTTACTCAGGAGTTTTGGACTGCAACTCCCAGAAGCCTTCACCACCTGCTGTGCTGACTGGGGTTTCTGGGAGTTGCAGTTCAAAAACATCTGAGTAACAAAGGTTAAGAACCACTGCTCTAGAACTCATTCTTCAGTGCTGCTGTAGAGCCTGTTGCTTACGCAGCTTACTGGGGACACTCCCGTGTGTCTATCAAATATGAACATCTGCAGACGAAGCAGGGGGGGGGGGAAATCAAGATCAGAAATAGCTCACCAAATTCTCCACACAGTTCAATCAAGTTTGGGAACCTAGTTGCT